TCAAATCAAGAAGTCCTCACGACCCCTATTGTGTGTCTGGACCCCTAGTATGTGTCGGGATCCCCAGTTGGGACCCAGTGCACTGTATTCTACTAGATTAGGACCACTACCGAAAAGAAGGTCTGAATTATCCCTCCTGGATTCTACATATAGTGCTTGGATGGTAAACTGTCACACTAATGGACTTTTATGTGTTTACTGTTCTGTGGTTGTTTTTGGTCTTGGACAAAGAGATGCAAATTAGCCATGAGCTAACTCTGGTGCAATCAGTTTTAATTGTGCAACGTCCCTGCAAAAATAAACACTGACACTAATTTACAACCTTCAGTTAATTTGGTGTAAAATTTCATTTACTTTATTTGCTTTGCTCTGAGCTGAGGTTGGGATCAAATAACCATGCAATGAAGGTTTACTTTTAATAATTATTTATTGCATCACTGTTGTATGGCCTCCATGTGTGGAGAGACCAAAGTAGAAAAAAGGCAAAGACCTCCTCAGAGGTACACAGTAGGCATTTTAGCATCACCAAGGAAAACAAACATCAACAGTGAGTCTCCATAATTTAGATATTAACAAAAAAGCATGAGGACTGTAAAGACACAAAAAATTTACTGCAAAGTTTCTATGCAATTCTAGTCATTAACTTAAACTATAGAGTATAGTACATGATGTTGTATAGAGAGTTAATCACAATCTCGTACCCTTGATAAAAATACAACAACATAAGTAACAGACTATGTTCACTGTGGCAATGTTTGTTCATTCTGTAAAGTCTAAAAGTGCAAAACCAGAGGCAAACAGAAGTTTAGTGCAAACTATGATTTATCTAAGCCATATCAATGTCAGACATTTTCTAACAAATGAGGCATGATTTGAATATTAGTAAGGGTTTTGCAGATGCCAGTTTGTTAGGTACACCGAGCTAAAACCAATGCAGTCTAACAGTTCTGCAATAAATTCCTAAAACCATCATGATGGTGCTGTTGAGTTGTATTGTGTTACACTGACAGGCGTTTTCATTATTTAGTCCACCCCACTTACGTCAGTAAGTGTAAGCTAAATAACAGAAACACCTCTCTGCAATACAGTGCAACAGCACCACACACTACATCCTCTGAAATGATCAGACAGTTGAATTAAAACTTCTCTAAAACAGTTCCAACAAAAACTAAACTTTGTAACCATCATGAAGGTTTTGGGATTTATTGCAGGACTGTAACCAGGTTGCATTCGTTTTAGCTAGATGTCCTTAAAAACCTGGCAACATGGTGTACAGCACATAAAATCATATTCATATCGATATGTTGATGGGAGGAAGTACAATGTTCAAAGTGAAGACACGTTTTTTTAAACTATTAAACTATTATACAACTTGATATGCAATCTGTGAAAAAGTGGAAGTGCAAAGCAAAGCCAAAAATTGACATTTGCAGTAATTTGTATCCACAGTTTCAATCGGACAGCAGACAAAAAGCTGTGTAAGAATCTTCTTTTGCTGGTTACATGTAAACGGGGGTGTAATTGCGACAAGCACTTGTGCTTGCAACCATCATACAGTCTCCATAACAGCTGCCATCTCCTTAAACTGCTTGTGAAAGTTCTGCAGAGGACAGAAAAAAAGAATCTCAGAATCAAACCAATAATAAAATAAACCAACAACACTACATTTGCATCAACAAATACAGACCTGGAACTGTGGAATGGTCATCTCAAAAGACCTCTGACTAATCTGTCCAGAGGGCTCAACAATCTTCAGCAGTAGAGACACATATGGGGAGTTGAGAGATCGGCATGTGTCGGAGCTCACTGCCATGCCAAGCTTCCACTGCATGTCCACTAACTAAAAAGATACAGCAAATCGACACAGTGAGTCTCATCAGCCTTGAAAATATAGACAAAATTCTGTGTTCAAATAATCAGAAAATAAGTGAGACTGCTTTAATGCATTCAATTTGGTTGTACCTGGCTGATGCTGAGCATGGCCTGGACCTCCTGCTGAGCATGGACTAATGCACCATGTTCACTCCACAACTTGTGCAACACCTGAAGGGAAGCTTTGGACCACTTGTTACTGCCTTCTTCCAGCTTTGACACAAGGTCATCACCAGAGATGTTGCTCTTCCCAGCTGACCTGGTGATACAAATGTTAACTATCACACCTTACACAACAACGTGTTCCTTTATGTATAATTCAAGACTTCTGCCAGGCCCATAACCCAGGATAAAAGCTGTGACAGCTCCATTACACAACTGGAGCCTATGCTATGGGTTTGGAATCAACATGCATATACATTAAACTGGACAAACATATCAACATGAAGGCCTCAATCAATTGCATAAGGAATATCCTTGGGCTACACGGAAGTAGACACATCCACCAGTCATCAAACTTTAACAAGCTGCATTCATAATTAAGAAGAAGGATCAAAGATACCTGAATGTTAACAAGAGAAATCTGACAATGTTCTGTAGAGTTTCATGCTCAAGTCTGACTCCAGCTCTCTGAAATCTCTGCCCAGAAAAGAAAAACGAAACAAGTAATGAAAGAGGAACTTGGGAAGATGGGTTACTATAAGTTAAATAATATTTTGAAGGAAATATTGACTCACATCAGAAATTTCAGCTGAATCTACTCCTTTAGTCTGCCCTTGAAGATACATCAGAATGTGCTGACACTGTGGAGATTATAAGATTAGTTATCAGAACTACATTATAACCTCTATGGCAACCACACCACATCCTGTGCAACTTGTGCAGAGTATGGCTGCTAATAGCGCAACAATGAACACCATTACATTGTATTTAACATCTAGTTGTTAATCCCACTGAGGTTTGCTCCACAACAACCTCACAGTGTTGCAATTCTAAGAGGTTGTGTGAAAATGCATGTTTGTTTAAATTATAATTTAAAGAAATTAATTCTGTGCCTGGGATAATAAAACAAATACTACAGGCCAACAATAACAACATGAAGAGTGCAACTTGTGCAGTGCTTCGCTTCTAAGCACTTAACCCACACACTTAAATATTAATCAAGAAATATGCTGTATCCCTAGTTACCGTCTTGTAGAAATATAACTTGTTTTCAGCCTTCATGGGGTTTATATACAAGTAGAGATAAACATACTCACTGCTTCAGCCAACAGATCTGGAGAAAGCCTACAAATGTTGTCCACAACTTTGCTGACACCTGAAGCACAGAAGTGATTCATTCATCACGTTTCCCATATTTTCCTCCAAATGCCCACAACTGACCATGTCATGTGAGTCTGACTATGACAATTATAGCACCTCCTTGCTCAGTAGAAATCTTTTTAATTTCCCTTTTTCTCAGAACTTGATTCAATTTATAACACATATACAGGACAGGGAGAGAAGATGCTGGGGGGAGTAATAAGCAGGGCAAAACATAAAACAAGATCTAATAAAAAAAAGTGTATAAATTAAAGATGAAATAATACAATTACAAGAAAAGGGTGACAAAACAAATCTTGAGGGTACCATAATAAACACATGTTTATATATGTATATAAGTTTAAGTAGCTTACATTGTCAGAGAAAATACTTGGTCGCATATTGTGGAGTTTATTTTTTTAATCAAAGCAGGGTTTAACTTTTGTAAATTTTCACTTATGAATATGAAAGTTAGCCCAAAAAAAAAAAAAGAATTAAGCTGATGATACAGCAGTGTTTGGACTTAATTACATCACATATAGGAAAACCAAATCAGCACATATCCGAAACACAAAACAATTTATGAATAGATATTTATAAAGTAAGCCAATGAATGGAAAGAGATCTGGTAGAAATCTTCTTCTTTGCCACATGCATTTATATTTATAAATGTAAGCAGTGATTCAGTGATCTGGATCAGGCTAGATCGGACTCCAAAAGCTGTGAAACATCCATATATTGCCAATGGAAACATCACTTCTTGCTGCTGCCTACTGTGGGTGACCTGACATACAACATGCGTGTGCTGTGACAACTTTACAATTAACTATAGCATAAAACAAGCTACTTCAGCTAACCTATAGATTAGGCGGTGTGTCGTAGTCTGTTCCTCCCTTCCAACACTGTTTACCCTCCTGTTAAAATGACGTCCCTCGATGGTCGGGGTGAGAGATATAATGGGTTGAGATATAACCTCGGTAAGTTAAAGGGAAGCACATATCAACAGGGAAACAGCCTTCGACACACCTCCTGCTAGCCACCGTGCTAAGCTAAGGCTGTTGCTTGGATACTGTATCCGCAGAGCTACTGTCAAAATCCCATCCGTCTCTCTGGTCAAACTACAATCTGGTGAAAACACAGTAACGTTACATGAAGTTAAAACCCACCATGTGATTCCTCTGCTGCTGGCATCTTCTCTCTTAAACAGGCTGCAGATTAGACCGCCGTATCAGTGCGGCCAACGCTGCGACTTTCTAGTGTTGTCAGGTTTTAAGACCCCTTCCGCAACTGATAATTGTTGTTAATAATACAGTTCTTTAACTACAAAACCCCTTTAGTGACAAACTGAGCAATTTCAAATTCTTTGACAGACTATTCCTCTTCTTGACAAAGAATCGCTGAAAGTGTTGTTTGTATTTATTTGCGCAACCATGGTAAGAGCTGCATACCGCCACCTACTGCACGGGAGTGTCACTGCTTCTTCACGGTTTTATAACAGTCTTGGTTGTTGCATTACTGCCTCCTTCTGGATTTGGTCTTAGACGTCCATTTCGATTAAAGTCGTTTAGTCTTGCTTGGGCAGACCTATCGCCACTATTGACAGTAGCCTATATAATTAGTGTGAATTAAGGCTGATTGGGACATAAGTTTGAATTGGACAATGTAACTATACGGGGTTTATTTTCTCGCCCGATCAGTGACAATATATAGGGGAGAGTGGGGTAAGGTGAGCCACCCCTTGTTGCTAGGAAATGGTAAAAAAAACATTGATCATGTGACCAAATATTTAGGAGGTAGGCATCATTTCATGGAGTCTGTGAATGTGAGAACCACATGGGTAAAGTGGTGAGATATTTATTTCCCAAAAACTCATTTTTCACTCTTGAAAGTGAATTTAGTCTATCATAAGTTTCATGAGAATTGTGTTTAGACCAAAATAGATCATTTTAAATTTGTTTTATACATCAATTGTGGTATCTATGAGCTACAACATGAGGTCATAAACCTAGTATAAAAGTGCACCATTTTAGCTGTGTGGACTAATAAAGTCAAAATGGTAGCTCTGGGGTAAGTTGAGCCATTTGGCCAGGGGTAAGTTGAGCCGGTGGCTGCTGCCAAAATACACTCAATAAGTGCATCCAAAAACATATTCTGTGTATATTCCAGAAACACAGCTGTTAAAGGCATTCTCACTTGACTCAACTTACCTCGCTCCTATGCTCTACTTACCCCATACACGGGGTAAGTTGAGCCACGAGACAGTTATGTTTACACTCATTCTGTTTTTTTGAAGGAATGCACAACATCCTGAAGTATATGCAGATATATTAGTTAGCAACAAAACTATGATTGCCTTGATGTAGTGATCCTAAATATGAAAAATGGCCCATCTTACCCCACTCTCCCTTATAGCCTATATAGATATTCTTTTTATTTATTCATTTTTTTGCTGAGCCCTAGCTGTGAAACCACAAAATTGCATGCACTCATTGATCACTTAGGTAGGCGGGGTGGGGCAATCATCAAACAGTAAGTTGATCCTGAAATGCATCATGTGAGGAAAATGACATGAGCTTTAGCTTTAGTTTCCATCCATAAACATGGATATGGTGCACTATTGCAACAAAATCAATACAAAGTGTGTTAACATATCATATTTCTATTTTTGTAATTGGGTTTTTTTTTTACACACTGCAAGCCTGAGCGCTCAATTCAGATTTATTGCTCAGATCAGATTGTATTTGTTTGGCTGTTCACACTACTTTTTAATTGGGCCCAAATCAGATTCCAGTGTGAAGGAGTCACAGTCCTGAAGTGACATAAAAGTCACATAAATTCTGATATCAATGTTCTACACTGAGACCTGCATTTTTCATTATTTTTTATTATTTTTTTAATTAAAAGGATCAGATTCAGTGTGGTTTGTTCTGTTCACACTGTCATGAAAAACGTATGTCACGTATGAGCAAAAAATAATCAGATTTGGCTTACTTGTGCCTGCAGTGTGAACATTAACTGAATGCCTGAACTGCCTCTTTCTGGATTTGGTCTTCATCAACATCCTTTTCTTCTATAGTCGTATAGTCTCACACAGCCAGGCCTATTCAGATAGGGGAAATCGTATAATTAGTCCAGTTGCTCACACCAAACATTTTTTGCCCTTCACACTGAAATATTCTCTTTATACTGGCATCTACTCACCTTATTTTCCGTAAGCCTCATTGTGTGAGCTGGTTCTTGTCTTTCTATATTTTCTGCATGTTGCTTGGATATGCCATACTGTCTCATTTTAATTACGCTGATTGCAAAGAAGTATGGATGTTAGAGCTTTAAGCCTTTATTGATCTACAGTGGGGAGAGAGTAAGTGTGTTTGCACTATATGTTCGAGACATTGCACAAACCTCATGGCAGTCTTTATTAAATATTGTTTTCTGCAGTCATACTGTCATGATTTTTAACTTAAAGTGAAAATTTCCAGCATTTCATGAGCCTGCACTCATTAATGTGGGTCTTAACACATTATGCATGTGTTAATATGTTTTATGTTCCTGTTTGTGCATCATGTGTGTGCTGACAGCGTGTTATCTTCTGTCCACAGTGGAAATCGCTGTCAGAAGAGGAGCAAGCCAAATATTATAAAGAGGCAAACAAAGAGAGACTGCTTCACTCACAGCAACACCCTGACTGGTCACCCAGCTACAATTATGTGTGTACACTCTGCTCACATACAACTCACACATTTACATTACTGTACTAAAGCTGATGAAACACTGAAAAGAGTCTTGTTTTTGCCAGCTGATATCAGTCTTATGTGTTTTTGTGAAGGACAAAAAGAGAGTGAGGAAGAGGAGCAAGGCTTCCACCAGCATTGAAGGTAAGACATCATTTCTATGGATCTTGGCGTGTTTTCATGAGAAATATGATTAAACATCAATGAAATGTGACCACCCGGGACCATATTTGCAGACAGGTGTGATGGAGCCCTCTATCTCACACACAGTCCTGATGCAGCGGCCTCATGTACAGACTGCAGTGGGTAACATCTGGCACCTGCAACAGATGTATTAGAGCTACTGGCCGGACTCTACAACAACAGCGTCCACAGTTCTGGTCTCTCCAGCTGCACCAAGTGGAACATAGACAACAGAGACCACATGTGATGGAGCACCTTGAGCCGGATGGGGCACCTCAGCGGTCCTCTACTGTAGATCTGTTGATCAAATAAATGTGTAAAAAACATGAAAAAATACGTTGAAGGTGTGGTCAGAATAATGCAAATACAGGGGCTTAAAGCAAGGTAAATTTCTGTGCCTGAAATATGTTTTAGGGTTACCTTAGGGAGCACTTTTTATTGATGTTATACCAGTATTGTGGACAGTAAAGTAGACCTTATTTATAATGTCAGAATGGACTGGTCTCTGATTTGACAGACAGACATAACCAGAACAACAACACAAACCAACCTTTGCTTCTATCAGCTCCTACCCAATCCCACATCCATGAGCCCTTGAGTCTGTGTCTAAGTGAAAATCTAAATCCCATAAATCCTACATTTTTAATGAGGTAATTGAATGCATTTGTAAAGAGTATTTTTATATGTCATAAAACATGTCTGCAGAGCATCTTTAATCATTTTATAGGAAAGGATAGGCTTTATTGATCCCATGCTGGGGAACTTCACTTGATCCAGATACAACACAACAGATAAGAAATTAAAAAAAATAAAATAAAATTAAATATATATATAATGAAAATATGAAAAACAGAATAACAGTTATATGTACACTATATACTGATTTGTATATACAGATATGATATGGAACATTGCACAGGTCACAGCAGGAGGTAGTGGCAAAAAAAACTATAGACAGGGCTGAATATATTGTACAGGTCTAATATTAATAATGTGCATGTAAGAAATTGTGATAAGTGTTGGCAGATGTTACAGAGACAAACAGTGCTACATTATGTTGTTGCTGAGTTAAAAAGTCGGACAGCTGTTGGAATAAAGGACCTGGGGTAACGCTCCTTCTTACACTGAGGTTGCAGCAGTCTGTTACTGAAGGAGCTGCTCAGGAACCCCACAGTCTCATGCAGGGGGTGAGAGGTGTTGTGCATTATAATGTTATAAGGAGTTCAGTCTAGACCTGCTCTATTTGAAAAGCTGTTATGAATTGGCGCTATACAAATAACAGTGAATTAAACATTGAATCTTTTTGTGCAGGAAACCTTGTGTTTGTTAAAATCGTGCAACATCCTCCTCTCACTCACCTCCTCTATGGAGTCTAGAGGGTAGTCCAGTACAGAACTAGCCCTCCTGACCAGTTTGTTCAGTCTCTTTCTGCCCCTGTCTGTGCTTCCAGCTCTCCAACAGACTACTGCATAGAGGATTGCAGATGCCACCACAGTGTTGTAGAATGATTTTAACAGTGTCCTGCACACATCAAAGGACCCCAGTCTCCTCAGCAGATGAAAATGACATTGGCCCTTCTTGTACAGGACTTTTGTGTTGTTGGACCAGTCCAGTTTATTGAGGTTCCCAGTTCCTACTTCCTACTAGTTATATAAAATAAAATATTATATTTTCCTTCATGATTTTATCTATTTTATAAATTCTCGAAAATGAAATTTAAAAAAGTTCATGCTCAAATAAATATTAAATCTACAATGTCAGCCATACTTATACCTTAGTCTGCCTTTGAGGGTTTTTTTGTTTTTGTTTTTTTTTTTTGGGGGGGGCTCCTAAGAAGCGCAACAGCGCCCCCAGGTCATATGTTAGGGGTACAAACGTAGAACCTAACCGTTTCATATGAGGCAAGTATCTTTTCCTTTTTCTTCTTATTATTATTGCAAAATGATTTCCAAACCCGACTACAAACACGGCCACCACTGACATACTGGAATCTGCACTGGATCAGCCACTGGGACTCTGTCTCTCTGAAACCCGCCCATGACCCTGGAATGTTCCACTGTTGGACTGAAGGTGTGGGTTTTACATTCAAAAAGCCTTCATTTTGCAGATAAAGAGCCATGACACAACTATTTAGGGTATACAAAATACTCTAGTGTTGTAAGCAATATACGTAACGTGTCTACTCATGTCGTAATGTACTGTGTGTGGAGTATTTATGGTTTATGAAGAAGCATGTACCCCTACGCATTACCTAAATGTCAAGGTGCACTTTACAGACGAGGAAGTGATTTCCAGCTGTCAAACAGATTTTGTAAAATCAGTTTCAGCTCTCGGTTGAAAGGAGAATAACAACTGACGTTACTACAAAATGGATTGTCCACGCTGGTTGCCTCTGGAGTCGAATCCAGAAGTACGTTTTAGTGATCCTTTTCAAACTATACTGTTTTATCGAAGTCATTCATTCACCAGCATGTGAGGGCTAGCTAACTTGTAGCTAGCAGAGAGAACAAAAGGTGAAGCCGGTGTAGCTGCTTTGCTAAACCCAACAGCAATTTGAATAACATGTTTATTTGTGTCTTTTAATTTTAGGTCATGACAAAGGTGAGTATTTCTTCTCATTTATTTTGACACCAGCTGGGCCTGAATAAGCAGAGGCAAAGCGACTTGCAGAGGAACAAGGCCTACCCAGCTGCGTTGCTCCAGCCAATGTAACGTTATCATTAAAGAATAAAAGCTACGACATAATGTCATGTTACTACTCTCACATAGACAAAATGGAAGGAAACAGGCCGTGAGGAATTCGACATCAGCATTAACAGAGTTATTGCTTGTAGCTGTAATGGTATATCTAGGACCATATGTTTTAAAGTTGTCTTGTCTTTATTTATTTGCTTAGTCACATTTCATGCAGCTGCCCACGAGCTCTTCTGTAACACCTGACTTCTGAGTATTCTTATTAATGTAATCTCAGATTAATAACCAGACTAATTGCTGTTCACTTTTAATAATGTAAAGATGGTTTCAGACAGTCTTTAGTCTATAAATGCAGAGGAAGTTCAACTGGGGGGGGGGGGGTTCGCTGTTTCTGATCAGGAGCTATTACACATAACTTTACTTTGAGTTAAACTTGTTTGCCAGATGTTGTTTGGTTAGCTTTATGTATTTGTATGCATACATATTTACTCTCAGCTTTTCTGTAGTTCGTTAATTGTTTGGGTATGAAGCCAACCTGGCAATTTGGAGATGTATATGGACTGGATCCAGAGCTTCTCAGCATGGTACCAAGACCAGTGTGTGCAGTGCTACTTCTGTTCCCAGTGACAGAGAAGGTACTTTTTTCTTCAACATGTTTTGTCTAAGATGTATTAACCTAATGTCCATGAACTCACGTCCATGACATAACAATGTTTTAAAAAAATGTATTTTCTCTTCTACTTCTGTCCAGTATGAGACATTCAAGCAAGAAGAGGAAGAGAAACTCAAGGGTCAGCCACAGGAGGTCTCTCCTGGCGTCTACTTCATTAAGCAAACTATTGGAAATGCCTGTGGAACAATAGGATTAATTCATGCAGTGGCAAACAACCAGGCACACCTGGAATTTGGTATGTACTGATAATGCCCACGTCATATGCAGTTATAGAGGAGTGAAAGATTCCCACGTTTACATGGTTGTATGATTGTAGAGTTAATTGTATGAGAATCACTACACTACTAATACATAATCTCTTGTTATGGTATCAGTGTCATATGTGTCAGCTACCCCTAAATCCAAACTCATTTTTGCTTGCAGACAGTTTTCTATAGATGTTACTGCATGTTGTCGTTTCTCTTCAGAGACTGATTCCGCTCTTAAGAAGTTCCTCGAACAAACCTCTAAAATGACCCCAGAGGAAAGAGCTACGTTCCTGGAAAAGGATGAGGTAAGAAGATAGATAGATAGATAGATAGATAGATACTTTATTTATCCCAAGGGAAATTCAAATATCCAGTAGCATACAAAACATACATTAAACTAAAATTAAAAACCCTAACCTTAAGAATAGAATAAAATATAAAGTATTTTATATATATATATATATATATATATATATATATATATATATATATATATATATATATATATATATATATATATATATATATATATATATATATATATATATATATATATCATATATATATATATATATAAAATTAACAGTAGCTACTGTAAACAGTGCAAACAGTAAACAGTGCAAATGGAAGTGCAAATACAGGTAGAAACTGTCCATTGTCTATTATCTATTGTCCTCCCTGCCTTTACTGAGAGCTGTTGTACAGTCTGATGGCCAGGGGGACGAAAGAGTTTTTGAGTCTGTTGGTGGAGCTGGACTGGGACCGCAGTCTGCCACTGAACACACTCCTCTGCCTGGTGAAGGTGTTGTGCAGAGGGTGGTGGGCGTTGTCCAGTATGGACAGCAGTTTGTCCAGGGTCCCTCTTTCTGCCACTGTCACCAGAGAGTCCAGCTCTTTGCCCACTACTGAGCCAGCTCTCCTCACCAGTCTGACCAGTCGACCAGCGTCTCTCTTCTTGCTGCTTCCTCCCCAGCAAACCACAGCATAAAAGAGCACGCTGGCCACCACAGACTGGTAAAACACAGAAAACGCTGAAAAGAAAATCTTTGCTCAAGGATATGGTGATGAAGAGGTCAGAGAATAACACTAAGTATTTGGGGGTTTAGTCGACTTTTTAGAGTCATTCTGGAGACAGATAGTTGATTGTTGAGTCTCATTCCCAGGTCGTCAAATCCTGAGGTTTTGGCAACCCAAAGGATCTGTTAAAAAAACAACAAAAAAACTATTGTACTGGGGACCGCTGTTTATACTGCAAATTATTAGCTTCTTTTCCAACTTCCTGTTTCAGAGTATTCGTGTCACACATGAATCCAGTGCACAGGAGGGACAGACCGAGGTTTGTATTGACTTTTGGATGATTTGTGGTGTTGAGGATGCTTCTGACAAAGATAACACCAAGTTTTTTTGTTGAACTTTGTCTAATACACAATCTCAAACAATGTGTCTGACTCAATAGAACTTAATGTTTATTTCTTGTCTGTTTATAGGCCCCAAGTTTAGATGAGAAAGTCAATCTGCATTTTATAGCCTTTGTGAATGTTGGAGGACAGTTATATGAACTGGGTGAGTTAACCACTGCTGACGTATTTGTCACATTATTCATGGTAATTACTTTAATTACACATTTAGCAGTGATTTGAAGCACACTGTCTTGTTTTTCTGTAAACCTAGATGGCCGTAAGCCTTTTCCTATTGTCCACGGAAAAACTTCCGAAGATACTTTCCTCGAGGTAAGATGTCACATAAAACATATTGTCACAAAAATATCTTCCCAAGCTGGGTTGGAGTTCATCATTTTCCTGTTCGATTGCACTGCAGGATGCTGTAGAGGTTTGTAAGATCTTCATGGCTCGTGACCCTCAGGAGGTTCGTTTCACCATCATTGCCCTCTCCAAAGATTCATACTGAGGAAAAGTCCCCTGTGACCCCAGAAAACAAAGGAAACATGACTGCCAAACATTCTCAAGTGCTTACATAATTGGAAAATTAGATTTTTTTTTTTTTTTGTAAAAAAGTAATGTGGTGAAATTAATAAAATTTCAGGGATATCATACTAAAGTAATGCTCCATTTGTGGTCATACATCACTTGCGAGTTGGATGAAATTCGAAGAGATTTAAAGTCCTGTTGTGCAACTAAAAGTATTCCTTGTTAAGATCAAAATCTTACAGTTCTGCACTGCTGAAACATCTCGGTAACTACACTGCACTGACGTTTGTTTACATGGCATGTTTGGCTTTCAATGAAGAAAGAAATGTAACAAATGTTCCAAGTCACTGAGGGAACTCAACCTCTTTTTTTACTCTGGGTTCAATATTACAGTATGTAGTGATTTGTTTTTGATCATATGTCTAACAACATGGTCAGAACAAGCTAAAGAAACGTGTTTTCCAAGGCTTTCATTTCAGTCATAGCTTCGAAAGAAACGGATAGGCGTAATGCCGTTGTATGCAGTTATTATGTTACCAAAAGCTTATCAATAAAAACAAGGTCTCCTGTAAGTGAGGCCAAGTGAAAAATGCAGACTGTAATTCAGTGTGGAAGGTGCCTACATTTTTGTAATAAGAATCAAAGATTCTGTCAAATAAAAGGCAAATTTATTAAACATTTCTCTTGTGGATCTTTTTTCTAACACAGACATCTTACATCTGTTTACCTTTCTGTAAATCACTTTGTCAGGTTTATTGTCAGATGTATTCAACTTGATCAGGCTTTAATTAGTTAATCAAATCTTTCCCCCCTTTTTTGTTTCACGGGACAGTGTTTCCTTGCTAAGCTATGATAAAGAGATACTATGACAGGGAATTTTTGAATTTTGGAACCCAAACTTTGTAACATAACTTGATTTTTCAAACACAGACTACTGAAGCCTTATATTCACTTCAGATAAAGTTTGAAATATGTTTTTACACAATCTAAACCCCTCTTTGTAATGATTCTGTACATTGACAGATGCTTGTTTGCTCTTTACTGTATAAGTGTCAAGCTTCTCAGAATCAACACAGTGGAAAACAAATATTCTCATGGTGAGATGCTCTAAGCCTGTAAAGGATGTCCCTCAATACAGGAGCTCCAATTTTCTCCTTTTTGTCTGCAGTACCTGTTGGTATAATGAAACCATGAGGGAGAGGTAACTGACTCATCCCGCTAATGTTTCTCCATCACTGTGGTAAACCTCTTTTAAGGTGATCCAACTTTGATATTAAAATTAAAATCCTCGTTAATCCATATTTCACTGACTGAGAAAGTAAAATCTGTCACACTTTAGATTACTATTAGGTTACTTTTTAACCACGTGATTTTAAGCTGCTGAGTGACCCAAAAGGGTTTTTACGCCTGGTTGGACCATAGACCATGAATAGAAAGTATACTCCCAACACACACAGTCCTACGTTCAAAAATGTATTTGATCATTATCAGAAAAATATCATTAAAGTATCAAAAGTAATGGTACACATTATGCAGAATGCCCCGTTTCATTCTTTTAAATTAGTACAGTATACAGTGTATTACATCTGTGGATTATTACCATTGAGCTATTAACATGTAAACAGCGTTTTAAGGTTGCTGGTCAAGGTCTAGACTATACTATATACTGTTTGGTATTTTAATCTATAACAATGCATTATATTTTGTAAGATGATATACATTTTATTTGACTCTGCAAAGTAACTCTAATTGTCAAATAAATGTAGAAGAGTAATGAAATGAAAAAATTAAATGTAGTGGAGTAGAATATAGAATACGCTCAAGTACAAGTATCTCAGAGTTACTATATTTGCCTTCCAGTACTTGTCTTACAATAAATGGACCAACTGATGGAGTTAGAGTTTGCAGCAGGTCCCTGCAGTGCACCTGAGCCGCCGCTGCGTGTCGTTGTAGGAAAGACATTGGTTTTAAAAGGAGACCCAAACTCCTTCAAGGGACTCAAAACTTTTTGACATTTATCAGTGTGGTGCTCAGCAGTCCACGGACTTCCAATTGTTTAGATTTTGTCCCGAGGAATAGCAAAGCGAGACCATTCTGCTGCCTGTAGTGATTCTGTGTAGCATTATATTATATACCTAGGCTGCTGCAGTGCACTGTACGGACAGCAGATTGAAAAAAAAAACCTGGGATCGAAATAATCCCCCCGAGGCCTTGAAAAACAGCGAACTGGAGTGTTCACCTGAAAGAAGCAGCTCAGGGTGGACCCGTGGGTGGTCCTCGGACCGCACTTTGGAAACCCTCCAAACCACAGCCTCCCAACTCACGCAGTTTAAACTTGATGAAAAGAGAATCCCTCCTGTCGGTGCCTCGACCAGGTCCACTTTGAAGACTCGTTGGATCGCTGCATAGGTGGAGCAGAGCGAGCGGTGCGTGGAGATACTGAAAAGAAACCAACCCACAGGTGTGTCGGATGAACAGGTACAGGTAAGCATCGGCAGCAAGGTGATGCAAAGGGAATGCGTTACTGTTACACCTTGCATTCATTCACTGATGAGCTGGTGGAAAAGAACAATAGGAGGCATATTTCATGAGTGAGGAATGTGATTACAAGTTCTTCTTGACTGCTTGACGAGTTTATTTTTTCCCCCCAGAGCGTTCATTGTGTGTTTGTTTGAACTGGCACACATTTCTGCCACTGGACTTTTTAAATGCGGGTCACTAGAACCGATTTGGCCCGCCGGTGCAGCTCGGATAATAAGTTTGTGTGATGGAGTGGCGTGAACAGTCCGCCGTCAGCTGCGACGAAGCCTACTTGGAGGCGCAGAGGTGGATTGAGGTGAGTTATAAAAATAAAAAAAACATTTTAAAACTATCTCAGCGCCTTTCTCTACAGTTACTGACAGGACTTTATCATTTGAAATCATAGATAGTTTGGAAAAAAGTTGCCAACTACTTGTGATCACCATATGGAACATCAGTAAAGTGGTGTTATGTGTGGATTTCTTCACGTTCATATATGATAGAAAATGGCTACTTTGGATTTATGTAAGAAAGTTATGAGCTTATTAGGTGTAAAGGTATAAAGCTGAGCTTCCAGTACATCTCTCATTTAGATGTATGTTGTTTGGTTTTATGGCTGAAAAGCAGATCAGCTCCCTGACCCTTAAGGTTCAGATAATAGTAACCTGGACCAGCAGATACATGAAGGCCTGTGTCCTCACTGAACTCATGTTTCAGTTAGCTGGTAAGATGCTATCAGTCTTTAAACTATCCCAGGCATTATAGCTATGCCCTGTATCTTATCTCTCTCTCTCTCTCTCTCTCTCTCTCTCTCTCTCTCTCTCTCTTCAGAATACAGGTTCTTCTTTATTGTTGTTCGCTAACTGCCTCCTTTGTCAGCTCTTGCCTAGACCCGCTCATACGTTTCCCAGGGCTTTGACGTGTCAGTTGAAACCATGTAGTGGGAAAATCAGTGGAGCAATTAAGAAAAACTTGTATGATCCAAGCTGTTGTACGTAATGTAAACACAGATCAGCCCAGATTCATAAATCAACAGGGTTTGGGGTTTCCACATAGTTTATGGCAGTTGATTTGAAATGTAATACTCCTACACAGAATATTGAAATTGCTCTTTCAGCAAATCAAAAACTAAAAGAGCAGTCACACGCTACGGAAAATGCAATGTTTATGGTGATGTCTGTATGTGGAATATATAGAACAGAGAACGAGTGATTCATTTTCTGAGGGGGGAAAAAGCAATTGTCATCATAAACCCCTATCCAGCAGCACTTTCAAAAACAGTCCCTTTTTATTTCCAAAATGTCAAATTATCTAAAGTTTCCATCCAACCTCCAGCCATACTCTCATTCTTTCTTCTCTCTTTACAAGTGGGTAAAATGATGTTTCCTCATCTCGCAAATTCTCATCCCAGCGGGGTGGCATGGAGCTGCTGTGCGGCTGTAACTAAACAAATATTGTTCTAATTTCATGAGGGGTGAGTCTGAATGCTTGTGATGTGACATCAGTGTCTCTCACACTTGCACACTGGCCCATTGTAGTGGCTCAGCTCGTGGACTGTGGTGGGGGCATGATCTCAGGCAGCGGCAGGAGGATTAGGGCGACCGAGCAGGAAGCTGAACAAGTTGAATAGGTAAAGGTGTAGTCCACAGGGCTGATGTGTTAACAGGATAGGTATGAGGGGTTTGGCGTAGGGGAAGATACAATAGCAATCAAAGTTCTGGCACAGGGCAGACACTTCCCTTCAAAGAGAAAGTTTTGTGACTATTGGAATGATTAACAAGCTGCTTGGCTTCACAGCACTTTAAACAGAGGCATGTGTGCATGGCGAGGTTGGTGGTATTGTTAAAAAGTAGACTAAATGGTCTGGAGCCTGTCACATGGACGCATTCCTGCATTAGCTGCCATGGCTGTGAACATAGCCCCCTCAGAGCTGGCCAGCTGTCAGCACAGGGCACTGCGTCCTACAACCACAGGGTCTAGCAGAATAATAGAAGTCCTTGTTAATTCAATAGAGAGGCTGTAAGTGTGACTGTTATGACAATCAAGAACAAGCATCGGTGTTTATGCAACCTACAGGTCAGAAGAGCATGCATATGGCCGTCTGTTGTGAATAATCACTGAGTTAATTTGCAGTTAATAATCTGTGTTTAGTGCGTGGTTATTCCATTTTGATATGTTTGGGTTTAAGCAAAGGTTGTTAATAATAAAGCACAATCATAGTGTCAGACACATGATGCCAGTTTTTGTCAGTCACCTCTTTTGTTTAGGTTGTGATGGACAACCAGTTGTTTTCTCAAAGAGCCTCCACTCAGGAAGGTGTTACCCGGAATACTTAGAATACCTCTTTAAACAGGTTTTAGGCAGAGCTTCACTACAGCCATTGATCTGCTTTAAGGTCGTATAACAACACAGGCTGTAATCTGTATAAGATTTCAGCTCTAGTTTTGATTTGACTCCCCCTGCGTTTGTATGTGTCTGGTTGAAAGGGACGGTATTGTGTTCCTCACACGCTCGGGAACGAAGCGGCCAATAAAAGGTAACTTAATCCTGAGGATTATTTGAAGGTTTGTTACTTATCGAGTTGTTGTCATGTAACATTGAAGCCACTCCAAGAATCCTTTAAGTTTTGGTGTAGTATGTTGGGGGAAACAAGGTTTTTGGTGATATCGTACATTTAGTAAATTGCAATTAACAATTATTTTGTATTGTTTTTTCCTAGAATTTCATTTTTTGTTTGTTTTTCTGCATCTATTCAGTAACTTATGGTGCTGCACCCGACACTCATGAATTGCCTTCTGTGACCTTTGTCGCTGTGTTGTTTTTCATACCAGGAGCTGTGCGACTGGACCGGTCATTAGTCACCTCGCTGCAGTGGCGTTCTGGGTTATTGACTGTTTAGATAGAGAGCCATTAGAAACTAGGACGCCGATGTACGCATTCAGATGTACTCATGTGAAGCGGGACTTCACACAAGAAGCCATTCACTTGCGTTTACATGTTGATGTAGTTCTGTCGTTCTGATATGTTGATGGTGTCCATACTAATAGTTTCCACAGTGGTATATTTTTCTCGAGTCGGATCCATGAAATCTTTTGGATAATGTCCCGGTTGCCCTCTGATGACCCATGCTGTTGTCCTCTGCAGAAGGAACAAAGA